TGTGATAGAGTTCAAATCTATTCCAAGGAAAGAAATAGTTTGACTGGGCTGGAGAGAGCTCTTTGTCCAGTTGACGGAGAGTCCCAGCGCTTTCAGATGGTTGAGGAGAACTGCGCGGTGCGACAGAAGCTCCGTCTGGGAATCTGCTAGAATCAGCCAGTCGTCCAGATAATTTAGAATGCGCAGCCCCTGACTCCGCAGGGGAGCGAGCGCTGTATCCATGCACTTCGTGAACGTACGGGGTGCTAAGGATAGGCCGAACGGGAGAACGGCATATTGGTAAAGCTGACCCTCGAAGGCGAAACGTAGGAATGGCCTGTGATGAGGGTTTATCTGGATCTGAAAATAGGCGTCTTTCAGGTCTAGAGAGATGAACCAGTCCCCCTGGCGGACATGCGCGAGGAGTTTCCTGACTGTGAGCATTTTGAACGGTCTCTTCATGAGCGCTTTGTTCAAAGCCCTGAGATCTAAGATCGGCCTGAGGCCGCCGTCTTTCTTGGGAACCAGAAAATAACGGCCGTAGAACCCCGACTCGGTCATAGATGGTGGGACTCTCTCTATTGCGCCCTTCTGCAGCAGCTTGGCTATTTCTGAGCGAAGCGTGTTCATAGCAGCCGGGCTGACAGTGGATTCGAGCCGAACGCGCGAGCGGCAACGGAACTGTAATCGATAGCCATTCTTTATGATGCTTAAGACCCACGGGGAGATGCCGGGGATGGCTTCCCACGCTTCGTAGCATGCGACTAGCGGTTGAATGGCGATTTCGCCCTGGTTGTTGCACATAGCGGGCTGGACACTGGGTGTGGGCGCACTTAAAATGTGAGTGGCAACGGGACTTACACTCAGAGAGGAGTTTATGGGCTGTGTGACAGAGCGAGCAGAGGGGGGACGTGTTTATGTTCTCTGCTACTAGAGCGGCTAGTGACCGCTCCGTGTGAATGGGCTCTGTGTGAGACCCGGGGCATATGGTGCTTGTGTGTATACGTGAACACATGCTTGTGGGCACATTTTTTACACTTGAGGCTTTTATGCTCTTTTTGTGAACTCTCTGGGTAGCCGTGAAAACGGCTTTTTGTCGCTCGCAAGCGGGCAGGGAGACCGGCTTGTTTGTGGCGGTGAACTCTACTGTAGTCGGCGAGGAGACGGGGACTAACAGAGGGCGAAGCTTTGACGGCGGTCCGGCCGCAGCGGGAGAGAGCCGTCTTTTTCTCAGCTGTGCTAGGCAGACTTTTGCTGATCAGGCTTCAGCGTGATCTTGGGTCGAGGCCCCCGGGGGGAGGCTGTCTGCGGCGGCTGTCAGAGCGAGAGCGAGGGCGGCCGCCCTGTCTATGCTGGGGCTGCTGAGCTTGCTGAGGCGGGCGCTGCTGAGGGGTTCTAGCAGGGGGCTCGTGAGAGCGGCCTGCCGAAGAGCTAGCGCGGCGGGGTAGGAACAAGTTAATGGCCTGGGTCGCTTTCTGTACCTCGGAGAAGCGGTCAACGATGCCCGTGACGGCAGATCCGAAGAGGCCAGTCGGAGAGATAGGCGCATTGAGGAACACGGCGCGTTCTGAATCTCTCATGTCGGTAAGCGTGAGCCACAAGTGTCTCTCAGCGACACAGAGGGCGGCCATGCATTTTCCCAGAGCTTGAGCGGAGGCTTTAGTGGCGCGAAGGGAAAGGTCCGTAGCGCTTCTCAGATCCGCGAGGATGGGCGGGTTCCTACCGCTGCTCGCCATTTCGCACAGGATGTCGCTCTGCAGCACTTGGAGGACTGACATTGAATGCAGCGCTGAAGCGGCCTGTCTGGCGGCAGCATAGGCGCGAGCATGAAAGGTAGAGGTCGCTCTGCACGCTTTAGAAGGAAGCGTAGGGGAAGAACGCCATCTAGCAGAGGGCGGGCTAAGATGAGCGTCCTCGAGTCCTCGACGGGCGGCATGGCGGTATAACCCTTCTCGGCGGCTCCGACCACCGAGCGCAGCGAGGCGGACACATCGGAGCGGTTTCGAGCCGAAAGAGGGGCATTCCAGTACTTAGTGAGCTCGTTGTGTAGCTCAGGCAGGAATGGTGCAGCCCGGCTGCAGGCAGGGGCCGGGCGCCGGTGCAGGAATTTTCCATCCATACGGTTCGGTGGTTGCTCGGTAGGAGGAGACCACTCGAGACCCAGGCGGTCGACGGCCTGTGAGAGGAGACGCGAAAGTTCCTCTTCGATGCCGGCGCGGGTCCCCGCAGACTCTCTCGTCGAAATCGACGACCAGTCCTCGCTGTCAGAAGCGTGCAGCGAACAGGAGTCCTTCTCATCCGCGCTGTCGTCGGAAGCGACAGAGCGGCCACTCGGCGGCAACTGTATGTCCGGCTGGGGCGGAGAGGGAGAGCGGTCGGAGGGCGGCAGCGGCGGCCCGCATGGATCCGCAGGGGGCTCCGGCAGTTTCTTCTTCCGCGGCGAAGTGAGAGGCGGCGCGGGAGCTGTTTTGACTGCCTGCAGCCGAGCCCGCAGGGCGGACAGAGGCAGATCCTCGCAGTGGTCGCATCCTCCGTTGGTGAGGGCGAGCTCTGCATGTTCCACTCCGAGACAGAGAGCGCAGATGGGGTGGAGGTCTCCTTCCTCGAGTGAAGAGCGGCATGAGCCGCAGGAAATTCGAGGCATCTTGAAAAAGACGCTCGAGCTCTTTTGTGAATATGGAATAATAAAGGATACGGCGTCGGATGGCGCTAGCTTGCTGGGCGGCTGAAGGTGGCAGACGGCCAGCTTCCTCAGTCTCCGGAGCTCGCTAGAAGATGCCTTCTCGACGACGGCGGCTTCTTCCCAGGACAGCGGATGCGTGTAGCTCGCTGAATGATGAAGAATCGACGAACTAGTCTGGGAGAGCTACTTTTATACACTGTAGCCACGCCCCTTTCGGCGGGCTCTGACGCAATGAGCGAGCGCCGTCCGCTCATTGGCCGCGGGCTCAGCGCCGCTCTCCCATAGGTTCGTGCATTCTCCCTGAGCGATCCAATGAGCTGCTAGTTAGCCCGCTCATGGTCTGCCTCAGAGAGACTGCGTTGACAATGATTACAAAATTATGGAATAATTTTTTGGCTTCAACTTCTCAGCAAAGATGAATCTTTCCCGTAGCGTAAGCTAGCTTACGCAATACGAGAGAACCTCTCGTAAGAGAACTAAATATAGTATTTTTGGTAATCGTAAAAAGAATGAAAATGTAAGAATAGTAATTGAAGGAACTGATATTGAACGAGTAAATGAGATAAAATTCTTAGGTGTTATTTTGGATGATAAATTGAATTGGAAATCTCACATGGTTTATATTCAGAGTAAAGTTTGTAAAAGTATTGGGGTCTTGTATAAAGTTAAGGATGTTTTAGATTATTCTTCGTTGTGTATGTTGTACAATTCCCTAATACTTCCATACTTTGGTTACTGCACAGAGGTCTGGGGTAATACACACCCTAGTAACACAAAACCTCTGTTTTTGTTACAGAAAAAAAAGCATTAAGGATAATCAATAAGAAAGGCTACAGAGAACACACCAACAGTTTATTTGTAAATTCTGGACTTCTGAAATTCAAAGATTTGGTTAATTTGAAGATTTTGATTTGTATGTGGAAAACAAAGCAGAGAGTCCTGCCTATGGACTTACAAAATTTATTCGCTCTCGTATCAGAGGAGGATGGCCATAGAAGGCAATATTATTTCAAAACTCCTTTTGCACGTACTACACTAAAACAGATGTGTTTGTCTATTTACGGAGTTAAACTTTGGAACACATTGGACTACGAACTGAAGTGTTACAAAAATGTGTGTAAATTTAAGAATTTGTGTAAGAAAAAAATTCAGGAATGTTACAAGGAAAATGAAGATAATTAAGTGTATAAACAGGTATTACTGAAAATGATTACTGAAAATGTTTGGTGACTGAGGTGAGGATTGGGGTTGATCCATTCATAAAGCAGCTGTTTTTGTCTTCTGTTTCTTTTACTGTGCACAAATAGGGACGGGTATTACAAGATTTTTTTTCTTCTTCCTGTTCCTTTTTTTTTCGTTAATGGAAATAAAGTAATATGTTGTAAAACGGCATGAACAAATAAATAAATAAATAAATGTTGTCCTTTCAATTTTTTCTTGTCTGACTCACCTGAATGAAGAATGAAAGGCTCATTATTATGCGTGTCTTTGTCTCTCTCAGGTGAGAATCACCTAATTACACATGATGAGGGCTGGCCTGTTCACTGCCATTTGCATATTGCCTTGGCAAACAAAAAATGTTTTTCACAATATAACCCAATTCACATTTTTTTGTGAACGATTAGGCAGGATGATTTTCAGATCATTGTGAAGAAAAAACTCTAAGCAACAACATCCATTAGTCAAAAGTCTTGTGGACGCATATTTCGTATGTTTTGTGGCCTTATTTCAAAAACTTTCATTTTTAGTTTTTTCAATAATCACGTATAAACAATATTCTCTCAAAAATACAAACATGTACATACATTTTGCTGACATATTATTGTTGCCCTGTTTGTGCTAAATATAGTGTAATTTCACCTGTGCCATTAATATGTTTATAAGCAACTGAAAAAAGCACAAATGTCAGGGCATGTCAGAACATCTCAAGGACCCCAGAGGGTTAAGTAACACAGTGAGACCAATGTACCAATACAAGTAGAATCAATTTGTACTTTTTACTAAAGTTTTGATATTATTTTTAACTATTGGTTAATTTAAATGGATAGTTAAATTCACGGAAATGACTCAAACTTAACAACTTGTTACATAACTGTTTTTGCTACAGAAGTCTAAACCTGAGATTATATTATAAACATTTGATATATCTTCCAGACCTTTTTCCATACTACTTCTGGTTCTTTTTAGTTGTGTACAGCCTAAGTATTTTAAGCTAAAGTTTTACTTTCAGCTTCGCAATTCTACTTGGTCAAATAGATTGTGAAATTCAATGTGCTCTACTAGATAAATGTTTTTGCACTCAGTTTAGCCCTCATGCTGTCCCATTCGTTCTTCTTAGAATCTCCCTGATGTCCAGGAGTTGATTGCTGAGGTCAATGCTGAGAAGTACTCCCTTCAAGCTGCAGCCATCTTAGGTGGGTAAACATGACCGCAGCCATTCCCATTCCACAAGGGACCAGTCAGTTTATTGACCTTCCGCCATCATCCACAAATTCTGACACAGTGGCCATGTCTTGAAAGCTTCATTTCCTGTAACTAACTGTGACATTTATGTTTTAGACACAGAAGATGTTGCTGAGGTGCCCCCACCACAGCAGATTAACGATTACATGGTAAGAGAGGACAAATGGAAACAGACTTTATCAAATCAATTTTTCAGTTTACCTTTAGATTGGGCATTATTAGTTTGCCATAGATTCATTAAAATATTAAAAACTACGGTTTTATTAACCTTTAAAAAAAAATTCTAATTGCTATTCACAAGCTCAAGATCATGTCCATTTTATTGGTTTAGACGAGGAATGCTGATTTGTAACTGCTCTCCAGGTACACAAGTGTTAAGGGGGAAGGAGGAGTAGAACAGTGGAATGTTGCTGGGCAGATCTATGTGTTTGTGTGTGTCAGTCAGGTTCATGATGTCATACGGCAGGGCTTGGCCCTGGGCTTGTTAAAAGGAATAGTTCTTAGATTAGATGAGATAATATATAACTCTCCATCAAATTCATAATTTAAGAATCCTTCAAATTCATAATTTAAGAATCTTTACAGAACTCTTTTTAGTTTGTAGTGTGACCATGTTTTAGGGTGAATTCAAGATCTGTGTTTCTGGTTTACCTACAGCCCCTGTCTGATCGATTGGATAATTTTCGTCTAGACCCCACCCTCCTGAGCAAGCAGCCCAATCTGGTGCAGTTCCCTCCAGATTTCCAGCCCATTCCATGCAAGCCTCTCTTTTTTGACCTGGCTCTCAACCATGTGGCTTTACCACCTCTTGATGACAAAGTTGAGCAGAAGGGCAAGGGTGGCATCACTGGCTACTTCAAAGGCTTCTTTGGCTTTGGGAGCTAAATCTAGTCCCAGGTTTTGTTTAGGCTTGTTTGGCTGTATTTGTAGTCATCTGAAAACAGATCTCTCTTCAAGACCGAGTGTTATGGATCCTTATTCTGTCAAACCATTTTCCCCAAAACAAGCCTTCATAGATTTAAGATATGTAAGTGCAGCCTGTTTGATAGTAAATTCATATTGACTGAATTAGAAGTGATTTATAAAGAGTGATAAAGAATTTATGCAAAGTTTTTTTGTCTTGCAAGAAGGGTGTTATAAAAATCCTGCCAAGTGTCAGCGTTAAAGGAGAACTCCGGTCAATTTTAACATTGTGCTCATTTTTTTTTTTTTGTACATTTGGAGTGCTGTCAGTACAGGCAAAAACAACAAAAATCGGTGTACGGGTTATCGTCTTTTTAAAATTCGCACCCTGTTGACTTCAATGGGGCATGTTCTAAACCTGCTTTTAGCCTCTTAACATCGTTGATTTGTCATTATGAGTGCACAGCCATGTGAGTCGTGTTATTAAGAGTGACCACGGTCAATATGACTGCAGTAGATGTGAAAGATATGAATAAAAATTATGTTAATTCAGCCAGCTCACATACCTCTATTTGCTTCCTGTTTTCGTTCGAAGCCCACGTCGATTGTCGAGTTCACGCGCGTGATCATTGGTGAATATCATCTTAAACCTACCACTGTGTGGTGTTCTGAGATTATCAGCTAAAATGGATAGTTCATCCGAATTAGATGTTGAACACACTGAGGTTTGAGATGATATTCACTAATGATCGACAATTGACTACTGTGGGGTTCGAACGAAAACAGGAAGCAAATAGAGGTATGTGCGCTGGCTGAATTAACATTTTTATTCATATCTTTCACATCTACACCACTCACATGGCTGTGCACTCATAATGACAAATCAAGGATGTTAAGAGGCTAAAAGCAGGTTTAGAACATGCCCCATTGAAGTCAACGGTGCGAATTTTAAAAAGGACGATGAAACGGTGTAGGTAACACAACGATTTGTCGTTTTTGTCTGTACTGACAGCACTCCAAATGTCCAAAAAATTAGTGGAGTTCTCCTTTAATGCTTGGTGTCACTACACATTCTTTAATCCAAGGTAAAAAGTTTGTTGGGTCTATCTTTTTTTTTTTTTAACTAAGATGCCTTTGTTTGCCTAGACCTCATCTCAATATGCCCAGCACATTATTCAAAAGTGGGCTTGTTTCACTCAAGTCTACACTTTAACACAGCTGGAATAAATATTCTAGATACCCAGCAATGACTTTTTTGTGTGCATCTATCTATCTAGACTAACAAGTCCTTTATCTATCTATCCTCTATCATCAACCTATCATCTTATCTCATCTCTGTAGATACCATGAAGGATTTTGATTTCTGCAAAGTGTCATCTTGCATGTATCTTAGAAAAATATGCTGGTGCAATTGTTTAAAGTCATAACTTGTGTTTTAAAATCATCTTAAAACAAAGCCATTGAAAGTAAAAGGTTTGTTAGTACTTTACATGTTTTTCTTAATGATTTGCCATATTTTGTTCTTAAACTAATTGCTTTTAACTTGCAGTTGAGTTGCTATTTCCCCCCACCTTCAGAGATCACACCATAATGACAGATTGTTAAAATGGATTGGATATGATAAATTCTAAAACTGAGGGATTTTTAATGTCCTGATTTAAAAAAAAAAAAAAAAAAAAAAAAAACTTTTCTGGTGTCACTGAATGTACCATGTTTTTGAACTGGGTTAAATGTTGGCGGTTCTGTCGTCTTGTGTTTCATGCAGATCAGGTCTGTAAACATACCAAAAGCGTCAAACACCACTAGCCCATGTTTGTCTACACTTAGTCTTTAGTCAATTTCTACCTATAACCTAAGTCTCGAGTAGATCTTTATCACAGCTCTTGACAGCTTTCTGTTGTCATTTGGTCATCTTTACATTCTAGAGCACATGCATATCATTCCAGGCAGGATGCCTTTCTGGCCTGAGGAATCTCACATAAGGGAGTTTGAACCAAGCTATAAGGTTAAAAGGCTGACTTTCTCATTTGTTTGTAGCATGGATTTTATTATATTTGGTAATGGGTTAATCGGTTTAGGTTATTGGGCATTTAAGTGCATATATCATAGATACATTCCATTGAAATCTGAAAGGCCTTAATTCAATTCAATACAGCCAATATGCATAGAATCACATACTCAAAAAAATCATTTTAGCTCTTTGTTAAATTTCATTAATTAAAATGAGCATATACAACACAATCCTTCATAGAAATGATTCCAGGTTAATTTCATTAAATGTAATCAATGTAATCTTTTAAAAATTTGGTTTACCAAATTTTTTTTTAATTGAGTCAACATGAATATTTTTCGTTCGTCTTAAATGGATGTCACTCAAAAAATGAATTTTGGCCTCTTGTTAAAATAATTAATTAAAATAAGCAAAAGTAACGTGATTGTTTAATATTGTCACAACTTAATTTAATTGTGTTCAATCAACCTAATTCATTTGTGTGAAATCTACATGAATCATTGTTGTTGACATCTAACTGGGCAGTGGATCTGTAGTTCCCAGCATGCTTTGCAAGGGACTGCATTAAGAGGGTCAATTTATGGAACAAGTGTTATTTTATGTGTTTTTCAGTAAATTGAAAGATGTTGTTAACGTTAGTGTTTTATGTTCAGTTATGTTAGAAACTTTAGAGTACTTTCTGTAATCTTTTTGAATTGTGTGGTTACCATTATGCAGAAGAGTGGTGACTGCTTTCAGGTCAGTATTGTGTTCAGACTCAATATTATACTATATGTGCTTTAAACCTCCTGTTTAGGCTGTGGTTACTCAGTATGCACTATGTGAAAATCTCACTCGCAGTCCTGCACAAGTAATATTATATTACTATGTTAAAAATGCTGTAATGTCAATTGAACACTAGAAGTGTATCATTAGAAGTGACCATAGAGTCAAAATAACTAAAATTATAATGTTGGTGAATTAAGGCAGGACAACAACTAAATGTAGTTAACCTGACAACTTTATCTAGTAGGAATGACTAAATTCATTTAAATTCATACAAGATTACAACAAATTATTTCAAACTAATTTGAATTTGTTGGAAAAATGCAATTCAATTTCGTGGAAAACCTTTCCTTAATTAAGTTCGTTCAAAACAGATTATTTTTTTGAGTGTGCAAGACATTTACTATCAGTAAGATTTACCCCGTCAACCCATTCAGTTTCTATCAACAATTGTTTGGTTTCTTTTGGATAAAGAAGACGGGCATCTAATTAACAGCCCGAAATAAGATATCTGTTGGTGTATATGAGGAAGCACCACACCCTAATGTGAATTATCCTCCAATCCAAGCCACTGCTTACCTGTTCTGTTGAAGTTTTTTTTCTAAGTTTCAAGCTGCATGGAGCATCACCATGATTTTGATGGTGTGCGAGGACTATCAGTACATCATTTTTATAGTGTCCTCTGATAGTTTTTAATTTAACATCGTTAAAGCCAGATTTAATAAACAGATCAAATTAGCGTGAGAGCACCATAAGTTGCACAAGCTGTTAAATCTTATATTTATATGTATTGATTATATATGTATAGGTATACATTTTAATACATATTGAATGCATTTTTTATTTCTGGCTTTCCAAACAACAGGAAGAACTGGCTAGTTTATTTAATAGAAAACTGCTCAAAACATTTACTTCAAAACTTCTTATGATTTTGTGTAATATGTCCATTGCTGGGCTATTTACGTAAACTTTTTTTTGTTTAATAAATAAGAGACTGAGGTGCAGTGAGATAAACGTTAAGTTAATTTGATAATTAACTTGAAAAATTTAAATTCAAATTAATTGATTCAGTTTCCACCTAAATGTGTTCTGTAGCGTGATTGATCAGACAGGAAGTGTTAAAACGCTATTTTCCTAATGGGCTCACAACAATTGAAAAAAAACCTGTTTATTGTAATAGTTCTAGTTTCTGTTATATATTTATTCTAATTTGTTTGCTGTTTTAGAACAAAATATATTTAATCTCCTTAATATTTTAATTAAAATGCTAAAATGCTTAGTGTTACTTGATCTTTGTGCTGCATTTGACACAATTGACCACAACATTCTTTTAAATAGACTAGAAAACTATGTTGGAATTGGTGGAATTGCGCTAACATGGTTTAAATCATACTTATCTGACCGTTATCAGTTTGTAGCAGTAAATGAGGAGATGTCTTATAGATCACAAGTTCAGTATGACATACCGCAAGGCACAGTACTAGGACCACTGCTGTTCACATGCTGCCATTAGGATATCATTAGGAAACATGGAATTAGCTTTCAATGTTATGCCGATGATACTCAGCTCTATATTTCTTCAAAATCAAACGAAACTTACCAATTCACAAGATTAATGGATGAATGGATGCATAGCTGAAATAAAAATTGGATGACTAGAAATTTCCTTCTACTAAATTCTGAAAAAAACAGAGATTCTGATTATTGGACAAAAAATGTCCACAAGTAATAACCTGTCTAACACTAAGTCTTGGTCGTCAGTTAGGAACCTGGGTGTGCTCTGATGCCAATCTTTCATTTGAAAGTCACGTGTCTAATATCTGTAAAAACGCATTTTTCCATCTTAAAAATATTTCTGTATTACGTCATATGCTCTCATCTCATTAGTTCATGTGTCTATAAGATCAAGACTAGATTATTGTAATGCTCTACTGGGTGGTTGCCCTGCACGCTTAATAAACAAACTACAGCTAGTACAAAACGCAGCAGCTCGAGTTCTTACCAGAACTAGGAAGTATGACCATATTAGCCCGGTTCTGTCAACACTGCATTGGCTGCCTATTAAACATCGTATAAATTTTAAAATATTGTTGATTACTTCAAAAGCACTAAATGGTTTAGCTCCGCAATACTAAAGTTAACGCATTATAGTCCATGTCTATTACGATCTCAAAATTCCGGCCAGTTAATAATACCTAGAATATCAAAATCGACTGCTGGCGGTAGAGCCTTTTCCTATTTAGCACCAAAATTGTGGAATAGTCTTCTTACCATTGTCCGGGAAGCAGACACACTCTGTCAGTTCAAAGCAGTTTAAAGACATCTCTTTGCCCTATACACATAATATATTATAGACTTCTATATTTCAATTTTAGGCTGCATAGATTAGGTCAGCAGGGACTGGGTACACTTCCCTTTAAATCCTGATGTACTCATTACATCATAAGAAGA